ACACTGGCCCTTAAAATTACGCACTACCGGCGTCCTTACTGTTGAAATCGCTTCTAACTGACTATAAAATATACCTAGTGACATCTGTTGATCGACTTGGAGTATTAGAAATGTTAGAAATTGAATTGCAAGTCACTACGCTGTACCCGCCGAACAGATAGGAATTTACCGCAGGTACGCGTTTCGGAGCGCTTCGGTAAAATTTCAATGAAGAAAAATTTAGTCGGCTATAACACCTAATGTACCTTATTTTAGAGGGTTCCAAGTATTTTTTAAGCCAATAAACAAAAAATTGATTTTTTGAAAATTTTACAGTAGACTTCCCCCTTAAACGATCATGAAGCTGAACCCCGATACATTATTGATGGTATTTATCATCTGATTTATTTAACTTGCAGTATGAAGATAGAATTACTCATATTGTATAGTTAGATCAACCTTTTGATAGTTAACAGATCGCCTTATTTAATTAAATTTTGAAGTTGCTCTATACAAGCAAAGAGATTAAAAGAATACCTAAATTTTGTTGAAAGAATTAGAACGATTAGTTCTCGCTGTATGCAAATATTCTGAAATTGAATTTGCGTGACTGAATTCGATCTTGTTTTGTCAAATTTCTTTTAATGTCGCAACTCTTGATTCTATTAAAGCGAATTCCATACTAGTAAATATCCCGATCGATTAAAGCGAATTTATTCTTATAATAATAACAGTGGAATAATATATCTGATTCACTTTTCAATTTCGAGTGAAAACATTCGCTCAACTATTTAAAGTGGAGAATTCGCTCTGCACAAGTGAAAATTCACTCGAAGCGATAGTGAAATTTCCGCCGCTCAGAATCTCAAGAGTGAATATTTCGCTCAAGCTTGAAATGAATTCTAATTTCACACGAACGATAATTTCGAACGATTTCGATTGATTAGAATGAATTCATCTTTCCAATGACGGGACAACATTTCAGATTCACTCTGAAATTCCTGGCGAAATTATTCGACGATTCAGAGGGGTGGAGGATTCACTCTGTATAAAATCACTCTGAAAGATCGTCCTGAAATTAATCGACTCGGCTGCCGCTCTAATCTTCGAGTGAAACTTTGTCGCGGGAAATTCAGACAGTACAACGCCGACGTATCGCGGCCACTTCGATATCGGCACGTCGATTTCCTTCCTCAGTGCCACGATGCGATTCCGCGTCATTCGCATTAGTCTCCCCTGCTGCGTCTGTCATACCGCTGCTCTCGGACTTCCTGAGCCCCGAAAGCCGTCTCGCCTAGAGCTTTGAGATGAATCGCGAGCCTATCGGCTGGTCAAGCCGGCAACCGATAATCCGACGAGCGAGTCCGCGCTGTACGAAAGCCCGAGACACAGCGGCGATTTATTTTGGTTCGCGCTCCGATACGCCGTCGACATGCGGCGTTTATTTTCGGCCGCCAGTCGGGGAAGTGGTCCGGACCCGGTGGATTGCGCAGCCGATGTTCCATCACCCACTCGTGACGGCGGATTTCGCGATTCTTCATCACCCGGCTTCGTCGCGTCGCGGGATTCCTCGGATTTCAACGGGACGTCTCGCATGCGTGCCCACCGCGCCGAAGAAGATCGCCGGGAATACATAGAAACGTCCCCGTGATCGCCGCTGTCGACATCGTCGTCTTTCGTCCCGCGAGAGAGAAGACGATTATGTATATTATCACATACGAATCTCGCCTCTATATCCGACGAAACGCACGTAATTACATATTTCAGAGGAAAATATAGCAACACAGGTGAGTTTTGCGCGTATAATTCATGCGTATAGTTTAATCAACTTTTTTCTACGACTGTTGCAACTAAATCTGAATGTGATCACGATAACTGTGGTTATGGAGAACTATGGTTTGTACTGTGCTATATCATTCAGCATTTAGTTGCGATTATTGTGAAATAATTTGTTATACTATTCGCATCAATTCTGCGTACAAAATTCGCATAGTTATATCATTCTTATAGCTGTCACGACTATTATATTTTTTTCTGAGTGTATATATGCCCACGTGGAAAAAGAATGCTGTCATACACGGAAAAGACGGAATTCCATTGGTGTGAACTGACCTTTCTTTCGGTGTACAAATACAATTGAAGTATCCGCTTGTGTTTGTGGCAACCCGTGATATCGGTGTTCAGTTGAATGAAACTACTTGTTTTCTCTTTTCATTCAACAACATTCTTTCGCCGTGTTAACACACATAATTACATACAATAATTATATATGTGTCTGGTCACACAAAGGCATACATTCTTATATATAATTTGTCTATAATTACATGAAACTCTTTGTATGAAAAAAAAATATTAATTTCGACAATTTGATCATAATGTATATTTTTATAATAATTATCGAGGATTACGTGTAATCATTTTTTTTCTCCGGGGTGAAAGGTGACTTTTACGAACCCCGGCGTGATCGGCCGAGAGAATTAGCTCGTTCGTCAATCGCATCGCACGAATATGGATCGTCGAGGGTTCGATAAGAACCGCCGCCGCCGCTCCGATATCTCCCCGTTGGAGGCGCGCCAGAGCGGCGTACCGCGCGCAAAACGCGCCCGCGTATCGGGGATCATCCTGACGTTAATTCGCAACCGATGAGGTAACCGAAATAAAATCTATCGGGTGACGCCAGAAGCTCGCCGCGGGCGACCGGAGTGCGGCGGTGGAAGGCGCGCGTAAACAGCGCGTGTGCGACGTGTGTCGTGGTCTTTTAAGTCGACTCCACGCGTGACATTTTACATCGGTTCGACGTGGAAAAATTTGCAGGGGGCGGGAAGAGATTGAATTCGGAGAAGAAAAAGGAATTGGATCGTCTAATAATGAGGAAACTTGCGAAACCGGCGGCACTGGCGCACATTCAAAAGCAAACTGACGAACCGACTTTCCGATGAGTTTCGCAACGCATACGGTATACAGCGAGAGAATAGGTTTCTCGTGATCCTCCGAAGATAGATTCTCCAATTGGAACGAACCGAATGCGTTCTGAAACCATACCATGAGTCGATCATACCATGCGCATGAATTTCTCAGTTATCAACTTAATCTCTTTTTAAATTTCAGATCTTACATCCTCTCCTTTCTATAAACTTTTCTACCGTCCTAATCTATTTTAGCCTGACATTCGCCATACCGCGTGTACGAATTTCCTTACTCTTCATTTCGATTTCTCTCTTTCTCTTTTCTTTAAGAATTCAATTCTCTCTTCATATGAATTTTTATGCCGACTTAATCATCACGTGTGTGTGTGTATGAGAATTTCTTCATTATTAATTCCACTTCCCTTTTTTTTTAAGAGCTTGCGATCTTCTTCGTACGAATTTCTACATTTTGACCCGATATTCGCGCCAAAAATCCCGTGGCTCACGATTTCCCAACGTTGGCCTACATCTGCTACACAGTGTGGCGCCGGCATTAGATGCAAATTATTCCTGTGCTTCTCGCGGTCGCACGAGAATAATTCTCGAGGACGACGTAATCGACCAACACCACAGCCACTCGAGGAAGCGAGGAACAGGCGTTATCAAGAATCTTGCGTGGTGAACAGATCAATTCCAATTAGCGGTACACACCTACCTTTCAAGAAGACGTCCGAGTCTCTTTCGACACCTCCTCTCCCCCTCTTCCTTCTTCTTCCCTCAAAATAAAAAGGCACCAACGTCGGTTTTTTCCTATCGGCGAGACATTCTTCATCTCACACGTGTTAACTACAGGAGATTTCATTTAATGCAGTCCCATCACCTAAGCATAATGACATAAAAAATTTCCAATTAAGCGCATTATGTTAAAATATTCGTGCGTCGTGACTGTTGATTATTCGGCGAATCAGCAACGATGCTGCAAATTAGCGGTCACGATGCGCGAACGTTCGGAAATGACGGGCCTGATTGGAAATCGTCGTGGTGTCACCGCACGCCTACGGGACTCCGTTGATGGCTGATCTTTCCCACACGCACCGTGAATACGCGTCATCGCGTCGATGAAAAAATCTTGTTTACCTGGTCGCGCGGTCGTCGGGTCGGCGCTGCTGGCAGCCGCGCGGGCTCATCAGCGTCACATGTTCGTCAGGTATTCGGGTCGTCGTAACTGGGAAGAGAGTCGCGTTCAACGCGCCCCGGCATGGGCGTGCGCGAGTCTCCGAGACTCCCGCGGTTAAGTCGCGTTTATTGACCGGCCACGATCGATCGTTCGCCGATGGGTCGACGGTGTATTGGCGGCTGCGGTTGCGGACCGCTAATTATCGTCGTCCGCGGCTGATCGATCGCGCCCGTCCATCGCATCGCCATTAAGGACTCGCGCCCAGTCCAGGGACATTCGGGCTAACTTTAGCCCGCTTTTAGCCGCTCGACGGGCCCCGCGCGCGCGGCTAACGACGTCGCGACGACCGTCCACCGTCGCTCGACATAACGAGCCGACGGCCTGGCCGCTTTTGCCCGCGGAAAATAAAACAGTGCACCGGCCGCCATCCGGCCGCAAGGATAAGCCTATGATCGCGCGATCGGGCGCGATCGAATCCGCGCGATTCCCCGATAGTCTCGCTGTCCGCGCGATGCCACGCATCGGCCGCGCGCTTCGGTGACACCGGGCCGCTTGGAAAGCGAAGAGGGAGCGCGAGAGAAAGAGAGAGAGAGCGGGAGACCGAGGAAGACAGAGAGAGAGAGAGAGAGGGAGACGTCACAAGCGCGCGTGGAGAACGTTTACTACTTCTCGCGGTGATGGACTCGAGTGTGACGCGTGGGTGGTCCCCCTCTAGGATCGCGTAATCGTCGTCTGTCTTCCCGGTGACGTCAGCAAGAATTACCGGCGTGCTTACGAGAAAGAGAGAGAAAGACGGTCGCGGGCCGCTGCCGTCATTGAGATCGCAAGAGACGCGCGAAAGCTCGCAGGGCCTCGGGAGCCATACTTTCAGGGAAGGACGCCGAGGAATTGTGCCCCAGCATAGCGCGTCGTCGCCCGAAGCGGAATTAGCTGCGTTCGAACGTGAGATCCCGCGGGAGGGTTCGTCTCGCGACCTTCGCTCGTGCCCGATATTTCGCATTTCTCCGCGGAAGATCGTACGTCGGATAGAAAGAGAGAGAGAGAGAGAGAGAGAGAAGGACAGGTACAGTCGCGGATAACCCGGCTGTTCCCGGGGAAGCCCCCGATCCGCACTCGAGGCGGGAGCGACGACAAGTGTGCTGCGATTGGGTTTCCGCGAGTCGACGACACGAACCCGACGTTGTACATCGCGATCGTTCTCGAGATAGAGAGGAGAGAGAGAGAGAGAGAGAGAAGGGGGTGTTCGCTCGCGCGAGAAAGGAACGATCCGAGCAATCGCCGGAAATCGCCGGAAATTCCAACGGATTCGTAAAACAGGCGATGTGTTCCCGAGCACTCGGGACTCTCTCTCTCTCTCTCTCTCTCTTTCCTCACCTGTCCACGTGACGTCACTCACCCGTCGGGACGTTACCAGTGAGATAAAGGACGAATTATTAGCGCGAGCCACGCGCGCATGCGCGCGACGACCTTCGGGCCGGCGATCGCCGCTCCTCCGCGAGTTTTCCACTTGAAAGAGATTGAACCGCCGGCTTAAAAATCGCCCGATCCATCTCGCGTGACGTCAGCGGTGTTAATATTAGAGCGAGGAGAGGCGATCTCATACGGTGGGAAAAATGCAGCGCCGGATCGCCGTCGACGTCGTCGCTATCGCCCTCGTCGTCTTCTGAGGCACTGCCAGATCGTCATTATATTTATAGCTTGATTCAAAGTATCACGGGACTCATATCCCTCGGATTATGCAATGACACTCCAAATAAATACAATCGGTCACTGATAACAGACAGATCACGGCCGATCGCCGAAATTCTCTATATATGTATCTCTCTCTCTCTCTCTCTTCTTTGAGAGACGCTTCGAGAAGAACCATGTAGCCGAAGCTGTTGCGACAAAGCAAAGCCCGACGAGCCTCTTCCTCGAGGATGAGCTGATGTGAGCGAGAGAACACTCGTAAGTAACGGTCTCGCGAGTCGCGCTAATCAGCCACGAAGATGGGTCTGTTGCTGTCAGTGCTGGTCGGCTGTGTCGGCGTGCTGGAGTTGCTGACGTGCCTACGGCACACGTCCGACGGCCTGGTAATCACCATCAATCCACCAACGCCATGCCTGTCGTACCACGAGCCGGCGGCGAAGGACGTGCAGAGCGTGCACGATTCCATCTGCAGCTTCAGCCACTCGCCCAAGCTGCGGCTGCCGCGCGCTGCCCGGCACAAGCTCGAAAACCTGCACGAATACAGTCTGCGGGTGCGAAATGAACTGCGCACTTTGGACAAGAACTTCGACTACGGCACCTTGTCGGAGTACAGCGCCGGCTACCTGCTTGGCTCCAGATCGGACTCCAGGCTCAGCCCGGAGTCCAGGCTCAGCCCGGACTTCAGACCCAGCCCGGACTCCAGGTACAGTCCGGACGACTTGAACTACTTCGTGCAGGAGGACGAGACGTGGATCGTCCACGTGGAACGACATCGCGACGAGGAGCACGAGGCGCACGATTACGAGAACGAGTACATCGAGACGAAGAACTCCCTGAAGGAGCTGAACGCTGAGCTCAGGGAGAGTCTGCGGCAAGTCGCACGATCGCTGATCCCGCCCGAGCCGGAGAAGTATGTCAGGATACCGACGCCGATCCCGCTCGACTTGGAGATCGAAATGGTGCACCGGCGGGCCTCCTCGAGCGAGGTCGATACGTCCTTCGACAAGGATTCGGGCAACGAGGCGCCTACTATGAGGTCCTTCGAGGGTTTGCCGATCGTCAAGAAGTACAAGGACTCGCGGTCGGCCTCGTCGGTCGACGAGTCCGATCACGAGGAGCGGCGGGTTATGCGGAAGGTCCTGAGGAGATCTCCCTCGAGATCCCAAGAGCCGTTGAGGAAGCTCAAGGGCGCCGGTATCCTCAAGAAGACGGAGAGACCGGTCGACGATCCGCCGAGAATCGTCGACTCGACGGCCACCGAAGTAGGAATCGACAGCTCGAAGAAGACCTTCGTTAGCCAACGGAAGCCCAAATCCGGCAAGTCGTCGACGACGATCGTGAGGAAACCTACGAGATTAAAGTCTAGGAATGCGGAAGTCAGCAGGTCGGCGGAGAATCTGAGCACGAGGGCCACGTCGAAGAGGAATCGCGATCCCGAGCGGCGCAAGTCCGATATATCCGTGCAGACGATGCACGACTTGCTGAAGGATACGTCGACGAACACCTCACCGATCAGCAGCCCGCCGTTGTCCCGGTCGGACAGCAAGAAGAGCGTGTCCGTGGAGGTGCAGACCACCTTGGAAGACGCCCTGTTGGACGACGAAGCGGCCGAGGAGCTCGGCTACAGCGTCCTCGGCTTGTCCGAGAGCAAAAAGGACCTGTTCTCGCGCGACAATTCCGCCAAAAAGTCTTTCAAGAGCAAGAGGTTCCGGTCCAGTTCGAGGGACGAGCAGGAGAGGCAGGCCAACGTCGTCTCCTCGTCGTCTACGGGGATATCGTGGAAAGACTCGATTTTGTCCGAGCGGAGATCCAAGGAGTCGAACGGTTGGCGAAGGCCGGAGGACTCGAGGTCGAAGTCATCATTCGAAGAGAACGACGACGACGAGTTCGCGGACGCGGAGGATGTGAGTTCCGGAAGGCCGTCTATACAGTACACAACACCAGACACCGACCATGACAAAGCATTCTGGGTAATACGCTTGACACACACAAACACGCGTCCCGCAACCGCGTTAATCCGCAGCCCGACGTAACGTCGGCCCTGCGAACGTCTCGGAAATCGCTTCGGACTGAATCTTACGGTATGAGCAACGAATGAATTCCGAGGTCTTCCCGGCAACGACGAGTTTCGAATGTTCCCACAGCTACAATAGGTATACGCAGGCATAGGTCAATTCTGAGTAACGCAGTCCCACGAATTGAGGAATGTAGTTCGGTAATTAAAAGGGAGATTAAGAGCAATCATATCGAATTGACGCTACAACGAGAGAATAAATTGAAAGGGGGGGTTTCAAGTAATTAATTAATACTAAATTTGGAAATATATTTTGCGTGAAGATTGGATAAATGTTTTAGTTTTCGTGGTTATGAAATAGGTGAGCTTCAGAAAGAGGGAGAGAGAGAGAGAGAGAGCGACGCAATTCTACACACTAAATAGGAAGTATATATTTCAGTAATGGACAGAGGGAAATTAAAAGTAATTCATCATGTCAAATTCGGGGATATGTTTGAGGTAAAATCGTGTCATATCGGGATACTCACAATACATATACGTGCCACAGACAATCGGATAAAATGAATATCGAATAATCGGGAACAAACGAAAACTCGAAATATCTCCTTCGACGCATCACGAACACGCAAATACCGGAAACGTTCGCATTGTCGCTTCCGTTCCTCCAGATGCGCGATCGGACACGGAGAATGTAGAAAATCCGCGCGGGATTCGATCGCCTCTTGGCGGCCGCCCAAAAATGCGACGTATTTCAGGCGACGGATAATCGTAATCTCACACCGCATCGCTCAGAATCGAATCATCCAGGCGTTCCACTCCATTCGAGAGCCCTCGTGGATATCCCTGATGTTTTCACAGAAATCTCGGAATTCTTTCGCATTCACGGCGATCCTGTCGTGACCGTTTCCAACCTCTCTGATTTTCCCCTCGACGTTCGTCCGGATCTTGTCACATTTCGATCTCGGTTCTCAGTGAACTCGGTGAGATTTTACCGAAAAATTTTTAGAAACGTAACATGTTGAGAAACTGTTATCCTCGAAATCAGCACGAGAAAATAATACAACGAAATACGATCTTGCCGAAATATTTGCGAACACATAAAATCTTGAGAAAATTCAAATATCCGTCGGTAATTTTAGACACGTAACTTTTTCCTCAAGATTTTACGTATTCTCGAATATTTCGATAAGATTGTATTTCGGTATAATTTCGGTACAGTTTCGCTTTACATTGCTTTCGAAATAACAGCGATTCGCGAAACATCGCATATGTTCCAATGTTTCCGGGAAGTTGTATCTCGTGACATTGTTTCTCTCTCTCTCTCTCTCTCTTTCTCTCTCGGGATTCGTATTTCGGGATTGTGATCTTTCGAGACATTGTCCCACTATACTTGAATTTCGAAATTTCAATGTTCTGAAACTTCGTGCGTCGTACAGCAAAATTTGTTTTCTCCGAGAAAGAATCCAACTACATATGTTATTTGTCACCGACACTGTATGCAAATGGGGGAAAGAGCGGATAAATTCAAACTTTGTCGGAAGTTTTTGACTTTCGATAAATTTGCAAACTCGTTGAAAGTAATACATCCGATGTGACAAACGTCTACAGAGTTAGGAATGAAGCCTGCCAAACGATATAAGAGCGCGGCCAAAAGACGACACGCTTATCGATGCCGTTAATCGCAATTCATACGAGTCCAGTTAAGAAAGCAGGGACTCGCGTATAGCTATGGCATATCCAATTTGCTGCATTCAGCGTTCGCACATTTATAAACTTGTGTAGGCTTTATGACGAGTCCGGTCTTTTAATACACCCGTCGTAGTGGAGACTTTCGCTCCGCTGCTATAAATAATTGCCGCTGATCCCCGGTTATATTTATTTCGTGTAGCCCGATATGTCAATAAACGAGACCCGACAAGGTGGTAGGTAGGTTGGATGAACCCGAGTCGGTCCGTCGACGACTTGATTTTTCGTGCCGTCCGAGAGGGCGAAAATCTCAGCGGTCGGACAAGCTCGACGCCCGCGGAAACCTCACTCATGCGGGCCGCCGCTACCACCGCTCTTCCGATCTTACGTAATACTTGTTCCAAAAATATTCCGAATATTTGGCTACGCGGATAAATATTCGTTACATTAGGAATCCCACGCGCTTTTCTCGATTACCGGAGATGACTCGCCCGCTCTCGTGAAATCGTCAACTCGGTACACCTCAACGACCGGGGAAGACGAAAAGAAATAGAGAAAGAATAGGAGAGAGAGAGAGAGAGAGAGAGAGAGAGGAGTATTTTACTTTCTCTGGGCATAATCGCGCTAACCAAATACAGTATATGAACGAAAATATAACTTATAATACATTTAATTGTTACATTCAAGATTGTTTCAACATAATTAAAGGAAAAGTAAAGTGTACGTACATGGTATTAGGTTTGATGCACTTTGTGCATCAAATGTAATGCGGAAATAAAAATAGAACGGAAAAATGTGTGTATACAGAAGGTATATATAAAGAAAAAGAAAAAGAAGGAGATATTACAAAGGTAATTAGATAGAAAGAAAGATTCATTAAGCAATCTATAAAATTTTTCTTCTCCTCAGGTACAAAAAAAGAAAAAAAAGCAAATAAAAATATATAAGAAATTTACAATTTATAATAGTAATGAAGACATTTAGGAAGAGAGAGCGAGCGAGAGAGAGAGAGAGAGTGTGTTAAAATAATTTACATTATTTAAAAATAAATAGAAATGAACACACGTGCGGGAAACTAATGTTGAAATAAACGCGCTCGTCAGAATCGCGTCCGCATCGAACCGAGGTCGCTCAAGGTGTTATCGTTTCACAACATGCGGGGAGGGATGATTTTCAGAATTGATCAACAGCGAGGAGCGTCGATTAACATTTCGGGTGTACCTCACCTCCACGTATCGGCGATTTCGCAATCGGCCGGCTTTCACATTCGACCGCGTAACATGCGCCGTAACAAAACGCACTCGCGGATATTTGCACGAGGCTCACCGCCGCGGCGTTTATTGGTGCCGTGTGCCTCTCGCGTGGGGTCTCCCAAAATATCAATCTCATACCCGTCTGCAAATAATATACGTATACACATCGCGCCCAGCACGACGACATTAACACGACCGACGAAGACGGCGAGACTCGTCGTCGCGGATTCGTCGCGCTCGCGCCTCCTTCTTTCTTGCCCGAAACGCCGTCCGAATATTTTTAATTCGCCCCATTTCCGGTAGACCCTCCATAATATTA